TGATTTGAGGAACTATTTTCAAGAAGATAGCGTGTAATCTACTAGCAGGTGATTTCTTACTGTTATGTTTTTTTTTTTTGTTTTTTTTTTTTTTTTTTGTAGTTCTGTATTGCGTGTACCCTTACGCCGCTTTGGTTTGTTTTGTGTTTTTCTCTTTTTCCTCTTAAATAAAAAAAAAAAAGAGAGGAAAATAAAGTGTTCTAATGAACACAACTGCAAGTGTGTTTAAGTGTGTAAGATAGATAACCATATTACTAAGTTTTTATTGGATCATTGAACACAACTGTTTGCAGTCTCACTGTTTGAATGTCCACTTTGTATGCTTTAATTTTGTAATTTTAACAACTATTTCGAAGATGACAATATGTAATCTATTAACTAATGATTTCTTACTGTATTTTTTTGAAATTCTGCAGTACTTGTACCCATTTACTGTTTTGTTTTTTCTTTAAATGAATTTTTTTTAAAAAGTACTAACATATATGAATATATAACATAGAAGCATCTCCTGCATTTCAAATTTATTCTGGATTTTTCCATTGTCCTCTTCTTCTAAACAAGCATATTCTCCTTTGCTTCATCTTTGCAATACACAGTTCCAATAGAGCCTACTTTTTGGCCAAGTGTTTTAAATTTCTCTACTGCCTCTTTGCTCTAAGTTTTCAAAATAATCTGGTCAAAAGTTATCTAAAGTAACCATGCTACCATCCCACCAGTAGACTGAATTGAAATTTTTCTGCCACCCAGGTAATATCTCTAAATTCAAGCAAAATGAAGACCAACCTTCAGCCAAAGCACAGTGTACTACATTGACTCCAGAAGACATTGCAGTCTTTCTCAAGAGAAGCCTCCCAAGTTTCATCTTAACTGGCAGCATTTCCATCAGTACTCTGATTTTCCAGGTTCCGACCAGAGTCTCCAAATATAGTACAGCATAAGGGGCTGTCTCTTTGGCCAGTCTTTCAAAAACTTTCCAGATCAATTTCCAAGGTTCTTAAGCCACATGGCCAGGCATTATAACAATAATGACCCCACTCCTGGTACCAAAATGTGTATTAGTCAGGGTTTTACTAGAGAGAACAGATACACTACAAGTTATACATATGTAAAAGAAACAACAAGATTGGCTTATGATGGTCAGCCACAGAGTCTGATGAGGAAGCATGCAGAGGGTTCTACACACTGGAGGCCCAAAGATTCAATCCAAGGTCTAGAGTTCACCCTAGTGTCTTGTGCAAGTCCACACCAGCAGGCTAATGGGTCTGCCACAGAAGGCTGAAGGCTCTATGATGAAAGGTTGAAGATTCTATGCCGGAATGCTGAAGAGTCTACACTGGAAGCCAGGAGATGAGGTCCAAACCAAAGGTGAAGACTGGAGCTTCTCCCAAGAATGGAATGCATTTGTCCTTCCTCCTTCCCTTCTATACCTCCAGGTGAGGAGCCAACCTAGGGTGGGTCTTCTTCTACATCCTTGGATGTAAAATTGCTAAACCCATTTAGTTAAGTTTCTAAATGTCTTAGGTTGACACAATCAATCAAGCACTACAATATACAGCTTATGCACTTAACCTGAAAGTAATTTTATATGATATTTTTAGGGCATTTTAGAATGACAATTACCTGCAATACTAAATCAGCTGTGGAAATTTCTTCCTGTGGTATAATAATTTTCAGAGTCTGGAGTTCTCTGGATTTCACACACTCAGATTAGAAAGGATGAGCCTTCAGAATGGGTAAGAATGCTATTCTGAATCTATATGGGTACAGACACAGTGTATGCATACATATATGAATATACATGTACTTATGAGCCAATAGGACATGGATGAAATATTATATATGCATAGGCACACTCATCACATCATTCTTGCAAACTTACTGAAGACTTCTGTGGTAAAGTCATCAAATGAAGTGCATTTAGAACAATAAAGAAAAGCTTTTAATTTTCATCCAATATTGTATAACCTAGTAATGGAGAAAAAGAAAGATTCCAGCTACAAGGGGCAATTTAATTTCCACAATAGACAATTTAATTTCACAGACCATTTTGTAATCCTACTTTATTCTAGTCTCCATGAAGTTATTTCAGTAGCTTTTATTGAAAATCCTTGTCTTTTTAGGAATGTACTTAGTCTTTTGCAATCTTCATTATGAAAAAATCCTAATAAATTGTAATTTTGAAATTATCACTTGTGGTGCATTATCCTTTAAAATTGGAGAATGCTCATGCAGAATTAAGATCTAAGGTGGTAAAGGTATCTGGTTGACCATACACTTTAGAGGAATTAGAATTTCTGTGAACCATATCTCCTTTCCATACTCAGAAGCCAAAAAAACTAAACTGAGATGTATCCTCCAGGTACAGGACTTTCATGCATCAACCTCTTTAAAAAAAAATTCTTATATGACTTTTGCATGATTTCTACTCTGTTTGAATACAAACATTTCTTGGTATTCTTTTTCTCTTCCTGATGTCACCAAGACAACCCACACTCTGTGATGTTCCTCCCACGTCTAGTGACTGAGAAAATAGCAACCGTGGTTGTTGACTTTTGTTTGTTTCTGGAGTCAACTCAACTTGGGTTCCACTGCCCGGTTCTGGTTCAGGGTCACTGGATCCTGGGACTGGCTGACACACCTGCTACATACTGTCTTGTGGCAAGCTGTCTGACCGTTTAGCTAGAATGCTCTCCCTTGAATTAGAATTAGAAATGACAGGTGACCAGTTGAAGGCATCGGGAGAGATAGTCTCCATATTTTTCTAGCAAAATAAATTCTATATGAAGGCACAGACATGTGGAGTCATAAAAATCCAGGGTTGCTGTGTTTGTTAATCCAATATCTTTGCATATCAATTTAGACAAATTAAAACTGTTTATTAAAACACTGTCCAGGTAGCCACTAGTTACTTTGAGTTCTGTGCTCTGCCTCACCTCAGACTTATCTACATAGTCTAATGTGTCCCAGTGTGAAGTATAGACAGTCTTGTGCTACCTTATAATGAGTCAGTCAACACTCTACAGTTTGCCAAATGACACGCTGCAGCTAAAACATTGGTCCTATATCATCATGAAATCAAGGCAAGATGAAGAGCTGCAGGCTGACACAGGAAGATCACAAGTTCAAACCTAGCCTGGGTAACTCAGAGCTGAAGCAATACCCAGCCTCCAAACAAAAGATAAAAACAAATTAAAATAGGACCAGAGAGGCAAGTTGTAATTCAAATATTACATACTGTAACCCAAATATTGTAATTCCTTTTCTGGTCTGCCTCACAATCCAGAAAGTGATATGTATAATCCCACAGAAACATTATTGGAATTTCCATGAGTTAATTCCAATCTGCCACCTCCAGTGCAACCCATCATGAGAGTAAAGATACTAAGACATACCCAAAGTTATGGGCAGCCAAGAGGCCCGACGTCTGATCCAAGTGAGGATGTGCAGACAAAGGCCCTTGATTCATGGCCCCTCCTAGAATTTATCTCACAAAACAGGGAGTGGCTCAACAGTGACCATGGTGAAAGTAGGAATTATGTAAGCAAGGTGAGATGAGCTGGCCAGCCGAAGAACAATACACAGAAAGACCAGCCTGCATAGCCTAATTAGAGTGGCCTTTGGGTTTTTAGGGTTCTTGGTCAGACATAGGGCCTCTTATAGTGTTTGGTTTTTAGGGTTCTGTTGATTCAGTATCTCATATGGAACCTTCTGTGTCCTGGGGAGTCATTATCTCTTAAATTGAGGCTCAAACCCAGTTGACATTCCTGGAGCTATATGTCTCTGCTATGTAGCTGTGTTCAACCTCTTATAGACAGCATGGTGTTGGTTGGGCTCAAAGGTTACATATCAGTACCTCAGCTAGCCTTACTTGTATTGCTTAAAGCCAATTGAAGGGAGAAGGAAATAGCTTAGCCAGCTCTGTACATATCAGGACATGGAGAATGAGCATGCTTTAATTGATGCAGAGGTAATAGTTCTGCATTCAAAAAAAGCCACCACTCTATCTTCTATGAAGTAAGTAGGTCAGTGTAAAGGCCTCAGGTTCAGTCTGTATTTATTGATCAAACGTATCTGTATCTATGCCATTTACATAGGGCTTAATGATATCGTAAACATCTTCATCCTTGCAAACAGCAAGCATGATGCCTAATAACCCAGCAGTGTGATTCTCACAATGCTTTCAAGACATTAAATTTCAAGCAACAGTATTCCTATCAGTTTACAAATTCACGGTCATGGTCTATAATTTTGCACTTGATTGATAACATCAGAATGAAGGTTATTTTCTTGTGTTTGAAACATGGTTTGTAATAAAGTCCTCTGGTGGGGCATAGTGGCTTCATGAAGAACGCACATGTAAGTTTAACAAGAAAGGTATTTCTTGGGGAAAGACGCAGATAAAATAAAAGTTGCATAGTACGTTGAAATATTCACTATCTTTCTAACAGTTACAACTCTTCCTTGAAATACAACATCAAACATTGTCTCCAGCAAAGTTTTACTTAGGAAAAGTGACTTCAATAAGCTGAAAAAATATGTATCTAGGATATATATATATATATATATATATATATATATATATTATGCATTACATATTATAAATCCCTGTTACTGAGACACCCAACCTGATAAACTCTTTACTTTGAAAGTAAAATACGTTTAATTTATTTACTATTTAAAAATTAAATTGCTCATTCATTAGGGCCTCAAGTCAGACTCTCAGTAGTGATGCGAAGCTTATAGCTACCCTCTTGGCTATTAGAGAAAGTTTTATTGGACACTGAAGATATAACCACTATGTGAATTTTAAATGGCAGAATTTCTGATATTATTCTCAGTGTCAATACATTCTTATGGTTTGGATTCAGAGGCTTTATATCTGATCGAGTATCCTAGGAAATTTCATAATTTTGGAGTTAATTCCTCTTTGAAAAACATTAAACTCACATACACGCTAATCACACAAGAGGGGATAGCTTCTCATCTTTCAGACTCAAGTGACCAGAATTTCAATGTTTTTCATGCTGCTTTGGATTGAATTTACTCCCAGGTCACATATAACACCAGAAGAGAACTTTGAGTTTTATTTCCTCAAGAACAACCACATCAGAAAGTCAGACACGACAGCATATATATGTTTGCTGTCATATCTGATTATCAGGTGTATATATATATATATATATATATACTCATATATATGTGTACATATGGTGTGTATGTAAATATATGTAAGACAGAAAACTCTACTACTAATATCTGTTAGTTCATCAGAAAGAACAGTTTGTGTTTTCATTGTTTGATGATTTGATCATTTTTCTCAGGCCTAAATCCAATAATCTAAATAATTCCTTTCAAGATAACAATATTAAATGATTTAATTTGTGTTAATTTCCCACTTTTTTTGGAAACACTAAATATTACAGCCAATGACAGTAAACCTAACCATTCTTACTATGAAAGAGTATCAGATTAAATAGGTGCTGACACTGAATTCTGACACATTGTCCCTTTAAAAATTAGTCACTGGAAAGAATTGCTAGTAATGGCACACTGCTGATCATTTCATGGTTTGCTACACAAAAACTATGAAACTCCACTTGAGATTTAGCCTGTGTGATGAGGAGTGAATTCTCAATTCTGTTAATAAGTGCATTATCTTTCTTGTGAATCCTGCAGGCAAGAAGTATTTCATGGAGGCAAATTGTTGCGTGACCAACGAGGATCACTCCAGGGGAAGTGGGATCGTTCACAACTGTTCCTGTCTATTGCTGTGGGAGTTTCTTGAGACTGACAGAGACAGGGTGAGTTTTGTTTGTCAGAATGGCTCTTGGTTTACAAGAGGGCATGCCTTGCACACTACCAGGCTGACTTATTGTGTTGTTCACTGGCAACAAGTAGGTCTGGAGAAGCAGTTTTCAGTGGGTTTTGGACAGTGCCCTGGTACAGATGAAACCAAACTAGAATACCACACCTAGCTTGATACTTTTTTTGCATCTTTTTTTATTTAGAGGGGAAAAAAAGCAAAGCAAAATAAATGGTAGGAATAATATTGAATTTCAAAAAAAGTAAGAAACCACTAATTAATAAATTACATATTGTTATCTTAAAAGTAACTGATCAACTTACAAAATCAAAGCATAAAAAGTGGACAATCAAACAATAACAGTGCAAACTATTGTGTTTCATAAACTAAGAAAAACTTAGTACTATGGTGATCTATCTCACACACTAATCTTGCACATTCTTTAGAGCACTTTTCTTCTCTTATATTATTACAATATCTATTATACATTTAGATCTTAAACTCTTTCAGATTTTTATTATTTTTGTACTAGAGAGACAATATGATGCTTACAAATTTGAGTCTAATTTATTTCACTTATAAGGATAGTCTCAAGTTGCCTCCATTTACCTATAAAAGCCTCAAGATCATCCTTTTTATAGTTTAGTAATATTCCATTGTATAAAAATACCACATCTTTTTCATCCATTCTGTGGTTGATGGGCATTTTGGTTGTTTTCAATATTTAGCTAATAAAAAACATGCTGATATAAACATATGTGTACATATATCACTGAGGTATGATGCTTTCAATTCTTTAGGGAAAATGCCCAGATGTGGAACTGCTGTATCAAATAGAATCTCTAATCCTAGTTTTTTGAGGAGTCTCCACATTGATTTCCAAAGTGGTTGCACCAGTCTACACTCCCACCAACAGTGGAGCAGATTTCCTCTTTCCCCACAATCTTGCCAACATTTACTGTCAGTTGATTTCTTGATGGCAGCCATTCTTTCTGGAGTGAGATGAAACCTCAATGCTGTTTGAATTTGCATTTCTCTAGTGACCAGTGATATTGATTATTTCCCTGTGTATTTATTTGTCATTTGTATTTCTTCATCTGAGAAGTGTGTGTCTATCTCAGATGCCCATCTTTGGAGTGGGTCTTTGAATTGGGGTGGCCTGATGTTTTTCAATTCTTTATATGATCTGGATATAAGTTCTTTGTCTGAGGGACAGATGGCTAAGTTCTTTTGCATTCTGTGAATTTTCTACTCATAAATGAAATAAATCAATGTAAATGTCACATTGTGTCCTAGTGTGAAAAAATTGATAAAAAAGTGGAAGAGACATAAGATCCAAATTGTACAATAGATATTGCAATAATGAGAGGAAAAGAAAGTGCTCTAAAGGAAAGAACAACTGGGTAGGGGAAAGGAGAAAAGAAAGAAAGGAATATACATATATATATATATATATATATATATATATATATTTGTGTGTGTGTGTGTGTGTGCACGCACATATAACTGTATGCATAGGTGTACTAGGTATATAACTGTACTAATAATCAATAACTATACTATTAATTCTGTTAGTTCATCAAAAAGAATAGTTTGTACCATCATTTTTGTCTGTTTGTTTTTTATATCTACATCTTATAATTTGTACAACTACTTCTAAGATAATAATATGCAATATGTTAACTAGCTTTGATTTCTTACTGTTTTTATTTTTTGAAATTCTGTATTATTTCTTCTCTTTTTCTGTCTCACTTTTTAAATGAAAGATGGATTTCTTAGAGACGGATAATAACTCAGGTAGATATTGACTTTGAACACCACTCATTTAGAAAGGAGGATTCTGCTAAGGAAATTAGAGTAAAGAGTTGCTATAGTCCAGAACTTACTGACTCAAATACTTTCAATTTTATGCTAATGTTCTTTTTCAGAACATAAAAAGCAATAGGTGAGAGATAAAAGTGAAATGTGATTCATATGACATTCTTCACAGATGGTTACAATGATGGAGAAATTATGAAGGCCTTCTATTTAAACAGCTAGTTGTATCTTTAGGTGGTGTGTTTTTGTTTGCTTTTCACCACTGAGACTAAGATCACCAAGATTAAAATAGTAATAAAATGAAAACATGTTTTTGGCTCACGACTTCAGAGAGTTCAGTTCATGGCGCTTGGGCACCATGCTTTGAGTCTCTGGTAAACTGCATGCCGTGGTGGACGCACATGGTAAAGGAGTCTTCTTACCTCATGGTACACAGGAAACAAAGAAAAGGATGAGCTAAAATGAGGCCATTCCCTTCTGGGACACACATCCCTAATGCCTTCAATTTCTCCTGTCATGACCTACCTGGTGAACTCTCCAACATTAACCAATAAGCTCCCTGAGTAGATGCCCACACCCTTCAAACATGGTCTTTTGAGAAAACACTGCAAATTGAAACTACAAGCCTTTCTTTCAAACATGGTCTTTCTGGAGACCCTGGAAATCAAATCATACTTTTCTTTTTTCCCACATCTTTAATTTCTTATATTTTATAAAAGACAAAACTAAAATGCTCAATACATGCAGAAGCACTAGGGAGACAGGAAGGGAAATAGACGTGTAATAATTTCAGATAACATCTGTGTACACATTGTTGATTCTGGTTCCTGCTATGCTTTGGTACTGAAAAGACAATTATTTGGGAAGAACGATGTTACATATTTTGTACAAGGTACCCAGAAGGGAAAAAGTCACTCCCTGGAAATGTTTATCAATGACCTAAGAAAGCATTTATGACTGCTGTTGTAGTCAGGGGTTATGCAGAGAAAAATTAGACTCAGGACATGGAGTTTATAATATTATTTTTATAACAGTTACCAGGAGTTAACACAAGAAAATGTAGGAAATCTATCTGCAACACCAAAGACATAGAATATTTAGTCAAGGGCCTAAATCCCACAGCAATGTCCCACATGAGTCCAAATGAAGACCCAGAGCTCATGACCATGCGTCCCACGAGTCCAACTGGAGGTCCAGAGCCCACAAAAAGGACTCACCCAGTCTCTTTTACAGATCCATGCTGTGAAGTTCCAAAGGTCAATGGTGGAAGACAGAAAGTCCATGCCAGTGGGGTGAAGGAGCTGTGCTGGTGGGATGAGGGTTCTAGGCTGGAGCCGAGAAGTCACACTCACAACAAAGACCAGGGATGCCCTGCAAATCACCACAGCCATCCTCAGCAACACAGAGGCCCTGAGCTCCTCCGAGGACAAGCACAGTCAGGTACATGCCAGGAAGCCAGAATGACGAGTTCATCCTGGAGACCAAGTGGCACACATCTTCCCCTCCGGGGCCAGGAAGCAGTGCTCAATGTGAGGACCAGAGCTTCTCCAGGAGATCTAATGGCTCAAACAGCAACATGTAGGAGAACCCACAATGCCTCCATGCAACAACACATTAACACCTCGATGCCTTAACAACCTCCTTCTCCTTCTCTACCTGTCTATGCTGGCAGCTTTCCTCAGGTGGAGCATCTACACTCAGTGCCATGCTGGTGTTAAGTTGACCACCAGTTCTTAATCCATAACAAAGGCTTTATTTGGAAACCATGCCACATATTTCTGCACTGTGGTCTTCTGCATTAAAACACGTTAATAACCACCACCCATCCCAGTCTGAGAAATTCTAACTCAGTGTCTGGGGTCAGAGTTGTTTTTATTTGCTTACTGTGTAGTTCATGTGCACTTGTCTTGGAGTTCACACGAGAAGAATAATCAAATACCTCTTCGTTTCAGACGCAGGAAACACGTATTTTTAAATTTTGAATGCTTGCATCCATTTATGTATTTTATTTTTATTGATATATAGTTGGATTCACATTGATGCTTTCACTGTGATGACTGGTGTAGGTAAGTGCATTCACTGTGATGACTGTTGCATGTACGTAACACATTTTGATTCTGTTTGGTTCCCATCTCACCCTGGCCATTTCCCTCCATTCGCAAAGCCCTTCCCACCTCCTCAGGGCCAATTGTTCTATTTCCTGTCATTTTTCTCTCATTTTATCCAAAATGTGGGAGTCCAGCTATGTCCTCCATAACTGAAAGTTGCATTGTCTAAGAATATTCATCAAAGTCCACATCACTACCTAAATCATTGTGAAGCTTTTTTTAAAACCTAGAACAGACTTCCTCAAGGAAAGACCTTGATGGATGTTAGCTATATGAATTTTGTTAATTAAATGTGTGACTTTTTTGTTAATTAAAGGTTTTTTTCTGGAAGGAAAGTATGTATAGTCTAGTCTAGCTACCAGCTCCCATCCTAAAATGGCAATTAAATAGGAAACACCTCATAATACGGTTCCTTTCCCATTTCTCTTTGTATATTTGTAGGACTCGAGTTTTGGGAAAGATATCTCCATGCAATTATTGTGATTGGGTGGTTATTTATTCTCTCTCAAACCACTACAGAGTTTAATAACAGTGAGTGAAAAAAATAATAATCACTGGAAACAACTTTAAAGATCTATTTTTAATTCTGTACCTCATCTGAATTTCCCCTCCTGCTACCTAAACACATGATTATATATTTATTTTCCTTGTCTAATTTCCATTTTCACGTTGGTTTTCATATTAGCTCTGTTTCTGAATTTAATTAACATTTTATATTTCTTAATTTCTTTCCCGGATTTGACTAATTTTACCTTATTAGCACTTCAAAGTCAGACAGAGAACGCCTAGCCGAGTCTTTAATTGCATGAGTAGTTAATTTCCTATTAGAGGCTGGCTCAGACGCGCACTAAGTGGTCTTTAACCTTTTCAACGTGCACAGCAAAATTAGCGTGCGGTTGTCTTGAAACTTTATGCATATTAATTTTCTCCAAATTCATATAAAATAATAAAGAAGCGAGAATTGTGTATATAATAAAAATTATCTGTATAATAAGACCATTTTAGACTTAAATATATATTCTTATTCCCTCAAAATTTGGTATATTTGTTAGTACATTACAATTGTTTTAATCCAGAACCTTTATTTTCGTAAGGCTTGCAGAACAGGGCTATGTACCCTAATTTAAGTTTTACATGATTTGTTACATTCAGTGGTTGTTTGTTTAGTTATTTTGTAAGAGATATCAGTGCAATTTATTTTCTTTCTTTCTTTCTTTCTTTCTTTCTTTCTTTCTTTCTTTCTTTCTGAATGCTTAAGTGACACAATGCATTTCAGGAGTTTCCTCTGAAATGTTTGTTGAGGGTTATAATGTTCTCTGACAGGGTATTTCCCATGACCCAGTTTATGAAGAGATTTCTTCAGCCTTTAAACTATCTACTACTGCAAGATTGAATAAGTTATCTTGTAATATATTCATATATTCTACCCATTTAGCTGACTCTACAGATTGTTTCTAACATTTATCATTTGAAAAAAATTAAATATGCCTAAGATTAAATATCGCCAGAGATGGTGAAGTGCCACTTAATACGTATTTCTACCAAGGGAAACAACTTGTGTTAGACTAAATAAGGGTCAGAAGCAGCCCAAGAGTTCAGCTCCAGTGCTGAGAATGAGACGGGAGGATCACAAAGTTGGTGCCCTTTGGGTAACTTGGGGCTAGTGAGCCTCTGTCTCAAAATAATCAGAAAAGAGCTAGAGATGTAGCTTTCTGGACATGCCCTGATTTAAAGGTGTAGTTCTTTAAAAAAACAACATGAAAGAACAAAATGAGGATGGAGAAAAGGAAAGGAGGAAGGAAGGAATCAAGAAAGAAACGAAAGAAATAGCAGAGGTAGAAATAAAAAGGAGACACAATCACAGGTAGTAATACAAATTTATGTTTTTCCTTGGATTTATTTTTCCATTGCAGTTTTTCCTCACAGTGTATGTCTGTATATGCAGTGGTATGACACAGCATGAAAAAGAAGATTTGGGAAAGCACATGGCCACTATTTTGAGTCTCCAATCAGAAAGTCTTGAAAGTGAGTTTGTAATAATTACAAGAACAGAAAATTTAGAAATTTAATTTATGATAACCACAATTTATGAACACTTTCTTGGTGGTCCTAAATTCCTTGAGGGATGATAATAAGATAAAAAAAAATCAAATTGGATAGTGAAAATTCTTCCTGATGAGAGAGAGAGAGAGAGAGAGAGAGACAGAGAGATACAGAGAGACAGAGAGAGACAGAGAGAGAGAGACAGAGAGAGACAGAGAGACAGAGAGACACAGACAGAGAGACAGACAGAGACAGAGACACAGAGACAGAGAGACAGACAGAGAGAGAGAGGAAGAAGAAAAAGAAGAAGAAGAAGAAGAAGAAGAAGAAGAAGAAATAGAAGAAGAAGAAGAAGAAGAAGAAGAAGAAGAAGAAGAAGAAGAAGAAGAAGAAGAAGAAGAAACAACTAACTCCTCATTGGGTGTGGCAGTACATTCCAGTAATCCCAGCCCTCTGGGAAGCAGAGGCAGGAGGATTACAAATTCTAGCACAGCCTGGGTTACTTAGTAATACTCTGTTTTAAACTAAACTTAAGTAGACTAGACTAGACCCAACTAGAGTAGACCAGATTAGACTTGACTAGATTGAACTGAACTGAACTGAACCAAACTAAATTGGGGATTATGGCTCAGGGAGAAAGCCACTATTGAAAATTAATGTCAGTTCAAATGCGAAAAATGAGCAGAACCATCTTTGCTGTGCATTAACATAGAAGACACAAAGCCCGTCACCTTGAAAGGTCACTTGTCAAGCTCACGGTGTGGACAATGAATATCGTTTTGGACCTCCTGTCTTCTACAGAATACAGCACCCTCCAGAATACTCTGACCATTGGGAAGCAGGCGTACCAATGATTCTTTGCAGACGAAGTTTAGGAACAAAAATCTCAGATTTGAGAGAGAACGACCTTAAGCATTTCGTTTTACAGATTTTGTGTTGGGAATTGTGGAGTGTCATGCACTGTGTGTTCGCCAAACAGGTAAGAACACTCAAGATGGTTTCTTAACATAGAAAGCTTCTAATCCTAAGCATGACACATTATGACCTTTCATAAGGAACATAACTTAAATGTATTAGATAAAACTGAATTTAATGCATCATATCATGCTGTGGGTTGGATGATCATTCCACAAAGACCCACAGGATGCCACTGGGGTGACAGGTTAGAGTCACTGGCAGAAAGGGCATAGTCTTTAGGTTATTGGTAGTGTGAACTTTAGAGAGATATCAGCAGAGAAAACAGGCTCAAAATTTGAGCCCAGCCCAGCCAGGACAAATAAATTACTGGTTTAAGAAGACCCTGTGTCAAAATTTAAAATAGTAATACCAAAGGACTCAAGATACAGCTCAGTGTGAAGGCGTTTAGATCATCCATCCATCAGTACTGTGTATGTGTAAGAAAAAGAGAAAAAAGAAATAGGGCCCAACAGTCAGAGATTGTCACCTCTGTGCCTATAAATCAAAATAATGCTTTCTTTCCTCTTTTTGTGTTGTTTCATGTCAGATATTAGCTACCGTCAGAGGAAGCTAACATACAGGATTTGACATTGATGTTAAAATCACCTACCAAAGCATCTCTAGTGGGATATACACTTAAAACTCTGCAAATTGGTTCATGTAAAAGCTATGCACGCTACTGTCCTTACGTGAATTCTAGCCCAGGTAAAGCAATGCAGGTCTTTAAAAAATGTATCATTCTTTAAATATCCATGAGATACATACTGTAATGTTCAGCTAACTATATAAGACTGCGTATCACATATAAAATGAATACCTGTAAAATTTGCTGACAGCACAGTAAGAAATGAGCCAGAAGAATCACTGTTTTTCTGGCTTTTTTTTTGGCAAGTGTTTGCACACAACACACCAGCTACTTGGTTTTATGTTTTATGTGCCTTGGGGGAAACACTTTTCACTTTTTATTGACCAGTGGCACAGAGCATATGTCTCTAAGTATACCTTCATAATAAATAAAGAGAAGTTAGTGGAGCTTATTAATTTACTTATGTATGCTGTGTATTGTCTGTTAATGATTCTAGTGCCTCCCAATTCAGGAGACACGTTAACCTCCAGCAAAATAAAGGTTGGAAAAAAATAACCAGAAGAATTATAACAAAGTCAGAGAAACACAAAATAAATTATGATAACCATTTTAAGACACAAATGGAATGATTTCAGATAACACGCCTTTTAACTTCTGACTTCATTTGCTATGGTCTTTAATTCCTAATTTTACTTCGAAGCCAAATGAATCAGCATGGTAATTTGAACTTGTACCATCTATTAAAGAGCTGGTAGCTTAATACTAAAGTCTATTTTCACATCAAAGAGAAAAGAATAAAAAGCCAGCAGTTTAGGGATTTCTCAAGAACACAGATGCTCAAAACCACAGCCCTCAAGGTTGTAAATCACAGCATGGACATGGATAATTTAATAATACTTTAGGCAATGTTCCCAGATTTTAGCACTTTTTTTTTCACTGTACCACTCAGTGAGGGAGAAACCTTGGTGCCAATGGCTAAACGCACTTTACAAACACTGGCTAATTAATCTGCTTGTCACCATGGTGATATAAGGCTTTACACACTTATATATTTAAACGATCATTTATTTTTATCATACAAGCATGAGCTACATTAATATGGTCACAAAATTGCTGGCCGGAGCAAGAGGGAGAAAAATCACAATGATTCTATTATTTCGTAATACAGAGAAAAGGCAGTTGGGGTGCATGGGCAATAATGTTTTAAAAATTATTCAAAAAATCGCTTACCAACAAGATTATCCCGTTGGCTAGAAAGTAAGACAGTCTCGAGCTTGAAGCTCTCAATAATGGTCTACTCTTGGTCAAGCTGCTAAATTTTTCCTTTTTAGCTGTTGCATTGACAGTTAGAGCTGATGGATCTAATTATTCATGGCTCAAGGTAAGGGTTCAACAGATAGTGGCTGTTATTCTGAGGCTTAGTATCGGAGGTGACCATTACAAATGGAGCCCCAAACATACTGCTTAATGGGACCCTGCCCTGCTTTCAAACATTTTAACTATTTGCTTATTTGCATATTCATAAAGCAATGTATGAGCACTGCCCTCCAGGCTAACGCAGAGGTCAATAGCACATACTATCGCTCTGAGTATACATTTCTCATTCGCAGACATAACCAACCATAGAATAAAAATGTCCATCAAACGGAGCTCCCAGAAAAGCCCAAAATGCAAACCTTGACTTTTCCTTGTGCTGATAGCTCTGTTGTAAAAGAACTTGAATGCAGAAATAAGCCAGGATGACCTGATATGACCTATCTTCTACTTAATGGCAGAGATAAACCTGTCAACAATGCAATACATGTGATTGCAAAATTAGGGTAAGGTGGGAATTCAATATGGCGCACCTCAATGGTTGGAAGTTACCTATCTCTCCAAGGCTCAGCGTGCTTCACGGACGCTCTTTTGTAATCTAATTTCAGATGTAATGCTAAACACTTTTCCCATTTTTCCCCTTTTAAATTCTACCTCTGGGGTTATCTCAAACAATAAGCATCTTCTCTAGCTTTTCACTTTATTTCCAAGAAATGGGATGGTCTCTAACAGAAATCTGAGCAAAATAAACTTTTGCTGGATGACTAAAGCAAGTAAGTGAAGAACTAGAGATAGATTCACACACTCTGCTATGATCCCTGCAATCCATGAAGGGAAACCTGATTTGATGTCCGTACACTTCAAGCCAACAAGAGTTCTCAAAAATAATCAAACTTGGGAAATGTTTTAACAAGAACTAAGGGATTCATATGTAAAATGTCCCAGTGTACAAACCATTTATCAGGAACATTTCCCAATAGAGAATAGAAAAAGAAAAATCAAGTAAATAAGACATAAAAACAAGACCACACAGGCTGGAATGTGTTGGATATTTTTTACTCCCCACTTGAAATTCAGGCAATCACATTGAATTTCTGCTCGGTTTGCTTCTGATATTGTTTTTCCCTCCTCTTCCCTGAACCTGACTGTTGTCTCTTCATGGTGATTTTCAGAAATCATTTTAAGACTTTTTTTTTTGTCTACTCTCTGTGGGAAGCAAAGAAAATATTAGGATCCCTAGCCAACCTTGGAGAAAGCATGACACTCTGGTGCCATGGTCCATTCTTACAGTTCATGGCAAATGTAAGAGCTTAGTTTCATTGTCAACCTAATTGGCTTGGGTGTCACGTAGAGGATTGAAGCGCAATTCTGGATGTAACTGGATGGGTCATAGATGTCTGACCTTGATAAATGCATCTATTGACTGGCCCCTTCCTCTCTGGCACTGTTCCTTGGCTTCCACGAACTGAGCAACTTTGAAACCATAAGTCAAAAAAAGGAAATAAAACCCACTCTTGCTAAGAGTGTTGTGTTTCAGTGGTGAAAAGGTAACAAATACAATCAATGTTCTGACTGTATCATTGATACACTATCACTTAGCTGTCCTAAGTCTTTTATCCAGTTTCTGTTCCCCAATTCTCACTCTGAGATTTACTCACCACTGCGTATATATAAACTCCAACTCCTAAACAGAGATCGCCAGCAATCGTGTTCCTGCAGAACAAAATCACCAGCCACTCAGCAACATACTGCAAAGACATAAAAATAAGTACTCAACCAGACATAAAAGGTTATATCAACCAAGAGATCCAGTCAATTCACATGTCTCTTTGCAACGAGATGGATAGAAAAATATCTTGTATGTGTGAAGTGTAAGATCATCCACTCACAGAAACAAAGAGCCCTATCATGTACTACTCACAGATGAACCTTGAAAATAATTCTATAATGGATATAAATACACAAGCACACTTAGTCTGTGATTCCGTGGATCTTACATGTTCAGGAAAAGCCAACTTGTGCTCCCCAAAATGAAAATCTTATTCTGATGCTGAGTTCCTCCATGCCTGTTTTGAGGGGTGCAGGACCCTGTGAAGCCTCTTTGTATGAATACGTTTCTCCTGCTATGGGATCCTTCAACATCATTGAGAAGATGCTGGTACCCAGTAGTGAATTTTATAATCTTTAAAACTGCAAGATGAAATAAATTTGTCTCTATGAATAACCAGATCTCAGGTATTCCATGATGCCCAGAAAAAAATAGACTCTAAAAGCAATCAGCCTGATAACATGGCTTCATAGAACCACTTGTCATGAAGAGGACACAGACATGAAAGAGAAAATAAATAACCTAAGACTCTTAAACCAGATATTGGATTTTCAGGGTGAGGTGTTGCATGCCTGTAATCCCAGAACTCTGGAAGGCTGAGGCAGGAAAACAGAGTTTATGCCCAGCCTGGGCAATTTAGAAAAAATCCTGTCTCAAAATTTACAAAAGAATAAATAAGATCATGGTAAATAACCCAACACCAAGGCCCTGAATGCAAAATCCCCAACACCACAGATAAGTGTTCAAACTATCTATCAATAAAAACATTGGGAATTTCCATAAATTTGAAGGGTTTTTTTTTTAACATGTAATTGTCTCTCAAGTGTGAGCAGGGAGCAATAAACACCTCTTTTTTCTCCACCTTAGTCATGCGACCAAATCTCCAAGAAACTTTTTGCAAATCTTAAGTACAAGGTCAACCTGGGACCCTGGCATCAGAAACTTGGAAATCAGAAAACAGGCTTCCATGCTTTCATTGAGTGCTTTAATAATGATACCATGTATTCTTGATAACTGAGAGCTGTCTTACCTGCCAGTATTTTCAAAGTACTGAGTGATCATCTTAAAATTCAATAAGGTGTCTTGGTTACTTTTTACTCATCGCTGAGACAAAATACCTGAAGCTCAAAGTTGGGAAAGAAAAGGTTTATTTCTTACAGTTTTTGGAGGTTTCAGTCCACACTCAGTTGTCTCCAAAAGAGGCAGGCATGCTGGGCTGCAGTTCATGGCGGCCGCCAGCGGCAAACTCAAACCAGCAAAGAGAAAAACGCACCTTCTTCCTGCCATTACATCACATCCTGGCTCCACCCCTTTGTGGGTGGAGCACTGACACCATCAATCCAAGCACTCTACAATGAACCATCACAAATGAACAATGCAAACTCATGAGTCCTGGGGGACATAAACCATGACATAAGGCCATTGAAAAAATAACTTCAAATCCTTAATCAGAGAAGACCAAATCCAGGATCATTTACCCAACTGCAAGAAATGAGGCAAACCTGAGGAACTCCAAGGTTAACCAACATTTTCAAATCAGATCCCTGGTCCACATTAACTTCCTAAAACTGTTACATCACAATGCTTATTTTCTGGTTTGTTTTGGAAACTGGAAATCACCAGCTACATAATGTGGAAAAAGTGTAAATCGCATTGCAAATGTATGTTTACTGTTCAGACCTTAAATCTGTTTAAATAAAAATCCAGAAATTTTTCTCACCATAAAATACTGCTTGATTTTTAATGGTTATTTTCTACTTGTAAATTATTGACTGCAGTACAAATGGTCAATAAATGCATGAAGAATTGTTAATTCTTGTTGGCCTTTCTGGAAGTGACAATTAAAACAATGAGATTCCACCGTACCCCATAAATAATAGCTGTCAGCAATAAATCACAGAATAATACATGCTGGTGGGGCTGTGTACCTAACTGTGCTGTAGGTGGGCAAGTGAACTAGCACAATCACTGTGCAGAAGACTCAATGAACCTAAAACTAGAAATTCCATTTGGCCGAGTTGTTTCTGTTCTTGGTATCTTCCGGAAAGAGATAAAGGCATCTCAATTTCAATCATCTATGCACACCCATATTTATAGTGCACAATTCACCATAGCTAAATCTTGGAAGTAGCCATTAACAGGTCAAAAAGTATGGTATGTATAGGAATGGAATATTTCTGTGCCATAAAGAAAGATCAATACTCATTTGTAGGAAAATGGGTACATCACAGCATTCAGTGCAATAAATCAGACACACAAGCTTAAATATCCCATTTTTTCTTGGGTTACCCAAGGCCAGGGATTTAGCTCAGCAACACAAGCACCTGCCTGGCAAGTGTGAGGTCGTGAGTGTGATCCACCATACCAATAGATAAATAAATAAAACCCAAAACAAAAATAATGAGCAAAATAAAGATAGATAAGAGTTAATAAGGAGGTAACTCTTTTTCAAAATGTGTAAAGATTAAGCAGTGCAAATGTGTATTGATAAAAAAAATTTAAAACCAATGGCTTTTTAAAAGGGATTTTGCATCTAACATAATTTTCCTTTCATTTATTATCTTTTCTTATTAGTGTTGGATTCTTACTAGGGTTGCTGTGGTGTTTTGTGTTTTGTTCCATTTTATTTTATATTTTTTGCAGTGGTTTGAAGAAATAACAACACTCAAAGTGCCCTTTTGGTATATCAGTGAGAAGAGTACAAGAAATGATTGATTTCTCATTATAGCTACATTTGTGATTCGCTATTGGGTAACGGATTCTGAACTTTCTCATGATCCACGAGTTTACTGTTTAGGAGGAATTTGACAAGTCATAGGGTATCATTTTTCACCTCTTAATAAAGAGAAATAATTAGAAATATCATTCATGGCAGTGTTGGGAAAATTAATGAGCAGAGTTACACAGAATTATTTTAGCATACTGTTATCAGCAGTGTGGAAGAAACTTTCTGTTTCTCCCAACACTCATTTCTGTTTTTTCTGTCATGTTATACACTGCGCGTGAACTCAAACTGGGAGCTGAATGTCAGCCTGCAAAACCTTGCAGCTTCCTGCAAAATAGCACCTGGCCAGTCTCAAAGAATGTCTTCCCATTGCTAATAAGCAGGAAGCAGCCCAAACCAAGCAATGTGAATTAAAAGGTGTAAAGTAGAACACATTGTCTTATTGATGGACTTGAGTCGCTGTTTTCCAAAGATGAAGCAACACAGGAACTCGAGAAGTCTTGAAAAGTTTTGTTTCCTTTTTTGTGCTCGGCATTGAGATTTCTGAGAAGACACACATCGAACACCCCAGATTTTGGGAAACGGATTTTTTCCTTCATACATTTATCTGTGAGGTCTTAAATGTTTGTAGCTCTCTAAAAACGAAGGCACTAGAGAAAACATAACTTCATAGGGTCCTGTGTTGTGTATATAAACATCACTAGTTAGATAGAACAAAGCACAATGCCAAATATCATGATGTTCAAATTTGTATTCAAAATATAAAAATTGTACCATGCAGGTGAAAACAATTTCAATCACAACTTGATGCAAGCATTAAACATTTTTTTTGTTTTTTGGTACCAGGGATCAAATTTAAGACCTTGTACTTGCCAGGCAGGCACTTACGCCACTGAGCTAAATCCCCAGCCCTGCACTTAATGTTTTAAAATGATATAGTCATTCCATTCCTAAAATATTTAAATTTGGTGATCAAACATTCTCTTAGTTACTTTTTACTCGTTGCTGAGACAAAATACCTGAAGCCCAAAGTTGGGAAAGGAAAGGTTTATTTCTTACAGCTTGTGGAAGTTTCAGTCCACACTCAGTTTGCTCCAAGGCAGGCGGGCATGGCTGGGCTGCAGTTCATGGCGGCTGCAAACAGCAAACAGGAACCAGCAAAGAGCAAGACACACCTTCTTCCTGCCATTACATCACATCCTGGCTCCACCCCTTTGTGGGCGGAGCACTGACACCATCAATCCAAGCACTAGACAATGAACCAATCACAAATGCACAATGCAAACTCATGAGGCCTGGGGACCACAGACATAAATCATGACAAACATTTACTTTTAGAGAAGTGAGGAGAGATGGGGAATTAGACAGAAAGTGCTCTGAAGGAAACCTGGGGGCATGGAGAGAGATCTTCTGTGGATTCAAAGAAGACTAAAAGATGTACGGAACAAGCATTATGGACGCACCCCCATCTCCCACACTAACTGCAATCCTAGATTGCAAGTAAAGATTGATTAAAGAGATTAAAAAGGAAGTAAATTCCCATGGTCTAGTTTTTTCTTTTAAGTGTCTCACATCACGTCTTCACAAATGGCAATCACCTCTTAGGAAATAAAATTGTTCTAAAGAATCGCCCTGGAAAACAAGAAATGTATCTCTTTCTAGATCTGAAAGGACTCTGTAGGGAAACCAGGTTTCCTGTCCTTTGGTTCACTCACTCATTAAATGAGGTTTCCTGCAGTCAGGGAGAAGTTTGCTTCCATACATGAAGAGAAGGGGAGAATGTAGCCAGGAGATGTAAGTGAAGAGGAGAGGAGAGACAGAGAAAGACAACACAGAGCCAAGGAGAGAGATACAGGGAGACAGAGACACAGCCAAGGAGAGAGATATAGAGAGACAGAGAGAGCCAAGGAGAGGGAGAGGAAGGGAGCTGAACAGAAACTTTGGTCTTCAATACATACAATAGAAAAGATTCAGGGTAAAATAGGTTTAGATGCTGTGCTTCAGTAAGTCTCCCTTTTATGAACTGTGTCAGAAAAACAGATGTAAAAAGCCACATGCTGGAAAGCTTCCGTAGCTCTGTTCGTAACAGCACATGACTGAGAATGACACAAGTATTGACAGATGATGAAAGAAATAATTTCAGCATGAAGCAGCATATTATACTGTAGGGAAAATCAAGGTTATGCATACATGGGGTTATATGTTTGCTGGAGGAGGCATCTGAAGACGTATTTCGTAAAAGATATGTTGCTACCAAAAGTAATTCTGGGCACACTTCATTTTTGCATGAAAGACAAACACATGAATACTTCAGTATTTCTAGTAGTATGAGTTCTTGATAGGTGGATGATAGATGATAAAGAAAAATACTCATGGATGGATAGATAGAGGTAAAAGAAAGCAATGGAGTGGGTATGGGAAATGCTATATAGGGACATGATGGGTAAATTGATTGATGATTGAATTGATAGATGAATTGATTGATGAGATACGCACAGTACATACCAGATAGGATCATTAGATGACATTTAAATGTATAGAAAGAGAATCCAGATAATATTCATGGCATATGGATAGCTAAATGTGTATGCATACCTCATTTAGACTAGTGTTTATGATGCACAGATAGAAGCTAGAAAGATGGATGAATGGGTAGATAAGTAGTTGGTCAAGTAAAGAAAGAAAGAAAGAAAGAAAGAAGAAATTTAGGCATTAATAAAAGGAACAATAGATAGAAATATGACATACAGGCAGGTGATAGGAGAAAACATAGAAACAACACAGTAAATAGGTGAGATAAAATAGAGGATGTGATATACAGGTACTTTTAACAGCAGGCAGGAAAGAAAGAAAGTGAAAAAGAAGGGGAATAAAACAGACAAGGGAAAATAGAATTTAGAAATATAGAAGTAATAGAAGAGATACAGGACAGGATATACTTATAAGTTATACAGGTAAATTGATGAGACAGAGTAGATAGATAACATGACATGTAGGAATATGAGAAAAGAAAGTAAAATAAGAAAAAAGTAAGAAAGAACAATGAAAAAGAGGGAGACAGAAATAAGATAGATGATAGACACATAGATAGATAGATAGATAGATAGATAGATAGATAGATAGCATGGACAGATAGATAGGATAGATAGATAGATAGATAGATAGATAGATACATAGATAGATAGGATGGACAGATAGGATGGATAGATAGATAGACAGACAGACAGACAGATAGATAGATAGATAGATAGATAGATAGATAGGATGGATAGATAAATAGATAGATAGATAGATAGATAGATAGATAGATAGATAGGATGGACAGATAGATAGATAGATAGACAGACAGACAGACAGACAGACAGATAGATAGATAGATAGATAGATAGGATGGATAGATAAATAGATAGATAGATAGATAGATAGATAGATAGATAGATAGGATAGATAGATAGATATATAGGATGGATAGATAGAATGGATAGATAGATAGGATGGATAGATATGGTGGATAGATATATAGACAGATAGATAGGATGGGTAGATAGATAGGATGGATACATAGATAGGATGGATAGATAGATAGATAGATAGATAGATAGGATGGATAGATAGTATGGATAAATAGGATGGATAGATAGATACATAGGATGGATAGATAGTTAGGATGGATAGATATGGTGGATAGATATATAGACAGATAGGATGGGTAGATAGATAGGATGATACATAGATAGGATGGATAGATAGATAGATAGATAGATAGATAGATAGATAGATAGATAGAATGGATAGATAGGGTGGATAAATAAACAGGATGGATAGATAGATAGATAGGATGGATAGATAGATAGCATGGGTAGATAGATAATAGATAGATAGATAGATACATCAATGCATAAATACATACACAGAACATTGTGGTCTTGAGTTCCAATCATCATATCCCATTAAGCTCAGATGACAACATTGTAGGATTTTCCTAGAACACACTGTCAAACATTTGCAAAATTCTGCTCCTCATAGATTCCAAAATTGGCGGTTAACCAAGACTTTTATATAAAAGACTGTATATGATATTCATATGGAAACTACACACATAGAACCTTACAGTTTAAATAATCTCTAGATGCTTATAATACCTGTTACTTAAATGTTATTTAAATAATTATGATTCTAAATCTTTTAAGGAAAAAAATGCATGGTAAGACAGATTGTACACACTCAACATAGATTATTTCCCCAAAAAACTTTAAAAATCATTAATGTAAGTTTATGATACATTATATTTACCTTTCTTTGGGAATTAGCTTTATTTAGTTATGAACTATATCTTCATTATTTTCTATCTTATGTCATCCTTCCAATTCTCCTCCATCTCTCTGATCACCAGCCTCACCTCCAAAACGAGCTATTTCCTGCTTTCTGTGCAGTGTTATATTCTTTATTAGTATTTTGGTTTTCCACAGATATACCATGTGATACTGAACTGTCTGTGTCTGAATTATTTCACTTAATTATTTCACAATCTGCAAATTCACCAGTTTCCTACAAAGTGATAGGATTTTATTTTTTATTATGACCACAATTAAAATGTGCTATGTAAACACAAGAGAGTATCACTTTTTGTATCTGTATTTGAATCCATAAATGCAAAACTCATGAATACAAAGTCAACTTATATATACAAATATAATCAATGTATGTGTATGTGTGTATGTGTATATATTTATAAAACTCAAACATTATGTATACATATGATATATATATATATGTATATATATATATATATGTATATATATATATATATATATCTGTGTATTAGATGCATATATACACATGCAGGAATCTATAGGTTTGTAAAATGTTACATTACATAATAAAATAGTTGGCTTACCTTAGAAGTGAATAAAATTACAAATTACTAAGGGGAAATGTTTTGTTCTTCTTAAAATAGACTTACTATCACAATATCAAAGTATCATTTTGTTGTTTTTTAAATGAAAAAAGAATAAAAACTATGGTACAAATTTCAAGACAAATTATTAGGAGATTAACACTGGTTAATAGATTGCGGATCATTATCTTCAAAGTCGGTGTCCAGATTACAAGATATAAGCATGAAAAAATAATCAAA